GAGAGAGAATCTTCAGCAGGCTCCAAGCAGGCCTTGATTTCACCACTCTGAGATCACGACCTGAGCCAAAATCAAGAGTTGGATGCTTAACTGATTGAGCCACCCAGGAGCCCCATGTAGTTTTGTAGTACGTAGTTTTCAATGTATGTAGTTGGTTTTTTTTTTTTTAAGATTTTATTTATTGATTTGAGAAAGAGAGAGAGAGATAGGGCACAAGCAGAGGGGCAGGGCAGAGGCAGAAGGAGAGGGTGAAACAGACTCCCCACTGAGCAGGGAGCCCGATGTTGGACTCAATCCCAGGACCCTGGGATCATGGCCTGAGCCGAAGGCAGATGCTCAAAAGACTGAGCCACCCAGGTGTACCAAATGTACTTAGTTTTAACCAGGGTGGTCAGGGATGGCCTCACTGAGAAGGTGGCATTTGAGGAAGAGTATGAAGGGGATAATAGAATGACCCAGGCAGATGTCTGGGGAAAAGCCTTCCAAGCAGAGAGACAGCAGGTGCAAGGCTCTTGGGTGGGAATGTGACTTGCATGTTGGAGGGAATGCAAGGAGGCCAGCATGTTTAGAGCAGAATGAGTCATAGGAGATGAGCTCAGAGAGTTATGTGGGACTCGTTTAGATAGAGCCTTTTACTCTGGCTTTCATTCTGAGTGAAATGAGAAAGGAGAGTTTTGATCAGAGTAACATGATGTGAAATGAGATGAAAGGATAACATTGGCATCTATATTTTGAGTAGACTGTAGGGAGGCAAGATAGTGCAGTAAATCGGAGGAGATAATGGAGACTCTGACCAAGAGAGTAGTGGTAGAGATGGGGAGAAGTCGCCAGATTCTGGAAATGTTTGAAGACAGAGTCAGCAGGATTCCATGGATTTGTAGTGCCAAAGAAAGAGAGATGTCAGAGATGTCTCCAAAACTTCTGGCCTGAACCAAAGAATGGAGTTTCTCTCAGCTGAATGAGGAAGATTATGGGTAGGACAAGTTTTGGGGAGAAAGAGTCGGAGTTAAGTTTTGGACATACTTAGTTTGAAATGTCTATTAGATAACTAAGTGGGAAGGATGAGTAAGAGGTTGGATGTATGTGCTTTTGGGTCATAGAAAAGATCCAAGATAGAGGTACACAGTTGGGGATCATTAGTATAGAGATGGCACTTACCGGCTCAAGACGGGTATGGTCAGCAAGAAGAGCGCACACACGGAGGAGAAGAGATGCAAGGACTCAATCTCAGCACTTAGAGGCTGAACAGATAAGCTGGAGCCAGACAAGGAGAACAAGAAATATGAACCAGCGGGGTTGGAAGAAAATAAGAGAACATGATACACAGAGCGTGAAGCAACAGATGTTTACAGATGCTTCATAAAGAAGAGAGTAAACAACTGAATAAAATATCGCTTATATGTCAAGAAAAGTAGGAACCGAGAGTTGGTTCGTTAACTGGCAATGTGGAGATCTTGAGAAAAGTAATGTCGGTACAGTGCTGGGGGTAAAAGATGACTAGAGCAAGTTAAGAGGAAATGGGAGAAGAGGAATTAGACGTAACAAGTATACAGAACTCAGGAAATGAACAGAGAAATGGAGCGGTAGCTGGGCGGGGGGGGGGTAATTTTTAAGTTGGGGCAAACACTAGTATATATCTGTATACTGATGAGAAGGATCTAGTAGAGAAGGAAACACTGAAATTCAAGAGAGTGCATTAATTCCTGGAGCAATATCCTGGAGCAGATAAGAAGGTGTTGAATCTAGTGCAAGAGTGGTAGCAGATTTCTGGGTCATTTATTAGACCAAGAAGAAGGAGAGCAGAGGGCAGGAATGCAGACTCAGGTTGGGGGTGGATATCAGGGGAGCTTGGGCAAGGCCTTTTCCATTTCATCAATTTTCTCAGTGCAGGGTCACAGGAAGCAAGGTCATCGGTGGTGGGGGTGGATGGGGAAGAAGTTGAAGAGAGGAAAGAATTAGAAGTCTTTTGAAAGAGTAGGAAGTGAATGGGCAAGAGAAATTGGCATGGTTAGGGGGAAGTAGTTTTGCTGAGTGGTACCTGAAGGCTTGTTATGAATTTTAAAACGAGACTGGTCAGAAGGGCTGTGTGTTTGCCTCCTGCCCCACGGAGCTGCCTGGCTACACATGTGGGTTTGGTAGAGTTGGGTTGAACCCGGGTTTGGGTTTTGCCCAGTGAGTACCACAAAGTGGGAAGCAGGAGGGATTTGAGGACAGGTGCAAGGCTGTAGCTCTCATGATTGCCCGAGGCATTTCAACTGGGTAGGGAGGGCATGATGCAGGGGGAGATAAAGAGAAAAGCTCACATAAATTGTAGGTCCCAGTGGGTCCAAGGATTGTTAGGGTGAAGCTAAAAGAAGGGAGTGAACTGGAAAGATATGAGGAGCTCGTTGGAGAGAGGGTTGCTTGAAATTGTGATTGGGAAGGGGTGGTACAAGGGCTTTTAGATCCTGGGTTGTCCATCACAGTAGTCACCAGTGACGGATGACCGCTGAGCACTGAAGTGGGCCTTGTCTGAATCGAGATGTGATGTAAGGGTAAAATGCATACCAAATCCCCAAGACTTAGTACCAAAAAAATATAAAATGCTTTATTAATAATTTTAAAATATTGATTACATGTTGAAATGATAATATTTTGGATATACTACATTAAACCTATTATTGAAGTTACTGTGACCTGTTTCTTTCTTTTTTTTTTTAAGATTTTATTTATTTGACAGAGAGCGAGAGAGAGCACAAGCAGGGGGAGCAGCAGACAGAGGGAGAGGAAGAAGCAGGTTCCCCGCTGAGCAGAGAGCCTGACGGCTCCGCTTGATCCCAGGACCCGCATGACCTGAGCCAAAGGCAGACGCTTAACCCACTGAGCCACCCCTTTAGTTTCTTTTTAAATTAAATATATGGCTCACATTTCTTTTGGTCAATATTGGTTTAGGGTATTACCATAGGAATAGTGGTTGAGGCAGAGCAAAGACGTGGGACCAGAGAAGTGCAAGGAACAGAGATGCAGAGGGAAGGAAGGTATCGTCTTTGTGATGTTGAAATCACCAAGACTTAATAGCAACGTTATTTTGGAGAAAGTGCCCGTGAGTTAGGACATAACAATGAGAAACAAGGAGAAGTGGCCCAGGGCAATAGATGGCTGTGCCACAGACGGGCAGTAGGTGGTATAGTCTGATGACAAGATATTCAAAGCTGGGGATTTTAGGACGGAAGGAGAATAGTGTGGAAGCAGTAATGAGGATCAAAAGGGAGATCTGTTCCACATCAGGGGCTACTGGTAAGAAGTCTAGGGGAAAACTTTTACTGCCACCTGAGAGGGCTGCAGAGGGGGGTGTGTCCTCAGAGGTGATCCAGGTTAGAGCAAGTGGGGAGAGAATGCTGGAAGAACAGGTTAGCAGCGGCTATGAGATCCCAAGGGCCGCGGCACTGGTTTCAGGAGCTGAGCAGAGGAGCAAGTTGTGGGGCGAGCTGGGCATCTGGGGCTTCTTACCGTGACTGACATATGGGGTTAAGGGGCTTAACGCAATCGGAGCACATGGAGGCGAGGTGGGCAGGGAAGGAGGTGCAGGGGAGGAGGCCTCCTTTCTTCACCCCTGCTGGAGGGGAGGAGGGGGCCTAGGGAGGGGCTCTCCACCTGTCCCACAAATGCTGTAATCCATCAAAGCCCATCGTAGGTCCTCTCAACTACTCACTAGGCGATTTTTTTTTTTTTCAGCCAATAGCAGCCTCGCATTACTACTTGGAGGCAGATGACTCGTAAATGTGGCTATTCCGCAGAGCTCTCTCTGCTCTGCTCTGGACCGGGACAGTCCACTGCCTACCGTACACCGTCTCATTCCTGGCAAGTCCAAAGCAAAACACAGTCTTCCTCC